AGTTTTGCAGCGACCGGGCCCGCATATGCCGCCAAAATGCAGAGCAGCAAATGCTTCCGCAGCATATCAGCTGGCATATTCTTTTGTATTTAATTACTTGTTCCGGTTCTTAGCGCTGTGTCTGTCTTATTGTTGCTGTTGTTGCTGCATTGTTTGAAGTGCGCCTTTGTGGCGCACGTACCGCTGCTGCTTCTGCTGCCGATTTGAGGCTCTTAGCAGGCCTAAGCAAATATGCCCATTCATAAAAATGTAATGCTAAGCGACAACTGTGCAGGGGCGGAACATACAACAGCAATAACAAAAACAGCAACGGAAGTCATAAGCCATGAAGGCTTAGCATCATCCCGTTCCTTGCACTTCCTTATGAAGGGCGAATCAGTAAATAATCTGATTTAGCTCACAGTTCATAAATTAAGCGGAGAGGCGCAAGGCAAACTGGCCAATAATATCGAACTACAACAATAACAACAACAACAAAGTGTAAGACATATGCATTTAATTAACAAAAACCAGCAGCACTCCATTCAATGAGCTTTCATTTCCGCTACAAGCCTTCTTACAACAGTCTTCAACAACAACAACATTTCAGCAACAGCATGAATGAAATTATTAAAGATATCGATCGATCGATCGTTCGTTCGATTTTACTCGACACTTGCTCGCTACCACAAAAAATTACAAAAGAGAAGAAGGCAACAACTTTTGTCAGTTTATGCTTCTTTTTTTATTGCCGCCGTTGGGCTAAGGAACTGGCTTAACGAGTAACTAATAAATACACTCAAAAAAAAAAAAAAAAAAACCATTTCCACATTAATTTAAATTTGGAATGTTTTCATTTTAAAAAGAAATCACACATAGTTTCTTATCGGAAGAGGTTCAGAGTTGCAGAAGATAGTTTTCGATAGTAGGTTGATTTCAATTAAAAAATGTTAGAAAATAAAAACAAAATATTACCACAAAAAAAGTTATCTTCCAATATTCATACACAGAAAAAAATTTTTGTTATTGGGCTCTTATTTAAAAAGCAACAAATTAATATTTTTTTCTTTAGAGCAATCCTTCTGTTTGAAATCGCAGCTTGGTAAGCTCTTTATTCCATGTTTCATATTTTCTTTTTTTTTGGATGTGGATATGGATTAAATTCGATTAAATTAAAAGTAACTTAAAAAAATATCAATAAACTGTTTTAAGAAGTTAACCCTTCGTATTACTTTTTTTTTCTGATTTCAATGCGGTTTTCTTCTTTTAGATAGAAAAGGTAAAATAAAAATATCCGTGTCTTTGGGTTTTTTGAAAATTTGTGATTTTGTATATATTTTTTTTTTTACAAAAAACTATGTTTTTAAAGTTGTTTCTGGGGTCAAAAAATGACTTTAAATGAAAATTTTAAAAACAAATTATGTATCACAAAATGGGCGCCAAAAGTGATCATGATTTCAATTCCATAGCTTATTTCAGTGTAACCAAATCAAATACACTTAAAGTACCATGTGTAGAACAAAATAAAGTAGTAGCTTTGCAAATTTCGCGAATACATTGTAAAATAATTGAGTTTAAGCGGTATGTTGTAGATAGACATACGAAGGGTTAAATACACGTTGTGATCTACAATTATATTGTGCGCCCCATTTTATACTTGTATAATGGTAAAGCTTTCAAGGAAAACTTTCTAAAACTATCGTTAGCGCAGGGCTACCAACGATGGTAGTTCCATAGTGCCCCATCATAGATAGTTCTCCATCTCAGTACCAAGGAATTCTTGCCAAAAAATTGTTATGCCCCTAATAAAGTTTTTTGTCTTATATTTAGTTTTAAGGGCTTTAATCGACAAATCATTTTTGTAATGAAATCGGGGCTTCGCAATTGTGCCCATTCACCTCTAAGACAAGCGTCGTCGCACCACCTTAACCCTGTTCTAAAGGCCAATTGTTTGAGGTTCTCGTTAACCTGTAACATTCGATCGATTTGCCACATGACTATCACATTACACATGCTCGGACATTGCAGACACTTTGAGGAGCTTTATTCGATTTGGGGTGCATTGCCGTTGCTGCTGACTTGACCTAAGGGTTAAGGGTTGAAGCACGCACATTGACCGCAAGCAGTCCTCTGATGCGACCGACACTTTCACCTTTAAAGCCAGCAGAACAGGATGTGGAAGTGGTTTTAAAGTCAAAAACAAAACATTAATTGTTAGCCACTTGGCACAAAATGCGTGTGAGAACGGAAGAACAAAAAAAAAAAACGAACCAAAAATAACGAAGAAGAAGACAATTATGTAGCACAAAAACAAAAGACCGGGCATGCGACTCTGCTATTACAGATTTAATTATATAATTAATAAATGTAATCAATGGCAAGCCAGAGACCATCTGTCGGCCGACCAGCCGATTGTATGGCACGCATGCGCAACAGATTCAAAGGAAGTTGGCGCACACACACACACACACTCAGACACACACACACACACACACACACACACACACACACTCAGACACACACATGCGCAACGAAACGGGAGGAATTGGAAGTACCCTTGGCTGTCCGACTGAAGTCAGCGGAAATCGCGAGGCAAAACACAAATAAAAAAAAACAGAATTTAAAAAAAAAATTCAAGCATACATTCGAACTCTGAAGCGACGACAAAACGTGGAATGCTGCGGCAAAAATAATGTATACAGATAAAGCGGAATAGGGGCACATGCGACAGCCACCACCGCCACTTGTACTCTTATGCGAAGGTTGTGGAGTCCAGCATGCCAACATATAGATGACCTAGCTCCAAAGAAAAGAGCAAGAAATTGTAGTTCTTCAGGAAAAAGTGCCAGTCTAACGGTTAGTCCAGTCTAAATCAACACAGCAGCAAAGCCATATTCCTGCGGCACTTTTTAATCGAAGGATACACCCAGGATATGCGCTTTTTTAAACATTTAAGAATCAAACTTTATTATTTCTTTATTTCGAAGATAAGAAATATTATGTACAATTGAGCTCTTCTGTTTTAAGCTTTTAAAGAAAATCGTTTTTTATTAATATATCCAATGTTTTTTTAAGATTAACACAGCCTCAAAAAAATTCGTGTTCCAAAATAATAGCAATTACAAGTTTAAGGCAATTGAGATTTTCTTCGATCAATCAAAGAATTTCCTTGGCATTTCGCCAATTCTATGTAAGTTTATGAAACGCACTGAATCTTCAAATCGAATGTTCCATCACAAGAAGCAGACCTGAGCGAATCAGGTCACATAGTTTGTTTAATATGCGAGTATGTCATGATTGTTTTTTTTTTTTTGGTAAACATTTTCAATTATTTCCAGGTTACGTAAAAAATTCTCACTGCTCATGCTAATCAGCAACTCCTGAGCATGACCAGAAAAGTGAGCAGAATGCGATCCCTGATTTTTTGCGGATCTCACCAAATTTTTTTTGTTCAGGGTAGGACAAATATTAAATTTTATGATAACCTTTAGTTTTTATTGACTCAGAAACAAACCCACATTGTAGGACTCCCGCTACCTCGTTGAGCTATGCCTGGCCCCACCATAATATTAAAGCATATTCCCGCAAATTCAGGCAAATGGCGACTTATCGGATAACATTCAAACAGTAAAGAACTATCCATCAGTTTATCCGATTCTGACGAAACGTTCTCTTTAATACTTTTGTACAATATTCTTGACGCATTTATATTGGATATGTATGTTGCACAACTTTTTAGTATATTTAAGGAAAATTCAATAGAAAACAGTAGATACTACTTTTCTTCTTTCTGGTTCACAACATGGCCAATTAACGCAGTGTAGAGTGCCCTCCACGAAATCGAAAAAAAAAAAAAAAAATCTGTACTAAAAGAGTTGCAAAAAAGGAGGAAAATGTTTAAAAGAATGACGATGAATGACGGGAAGCGCACAGCTTAGCTGCGCTCTGCTGGATAATTGAGGAAGTTATAATTGCCAATGAATGCCTGCCTGCCAGCCAGCCAGCCAGCCAGCGAGCCAGCCGGTCGAAAGGCCTAACCGATCGACAGACTGACTGTACAGCAAAAGTCAAGAGAACGCGAACCCTTTGGAACTGGAAAGATGAGAGCGGCGCAGAAGCAGTCGATGGGTTGGTTGTCGTTATTCTTGTCTTCGAATGTGTCGTTTCGCAAAGAGGAAACTGTTGTTGTTGTTGTTTTTGTTGTCTCTGGTGTGATGCGTTGGGAAACAGGACATGTCAGCGCATAAATTGAAATGAGTGTCGTGTCTGGACAGATTGCCAGACTTTAGTGACTTCAATACGCATGTGTGTGTGTGTGTGTGTGTGTGTGTGTTTGTCGAAACGGAAGGACAATAATTGAACACCAGCCAGCCCTACACTCTTAACTGGCAACTGACTGAGGGACAACGCTTGTTTGTCATTATGAAAGAATTTCTGATGGTTGGCGACGCAATTTTTCATCGTGTTTTATTTTTTTTGAAAGCGATGAGCTAATAATTATTTGCCAAGTTCTTCAAGAAATTGCATCACGAGTGCGTGTGTGAGTTTGTATGTAAATAAACAATAAAGCGAGGGATACTGAAGGATTCTTACACGCACCTGTGTCAACAATGCAAAAAGTACGAGTATGAAGCGCCAAACAAACCAAACAACAAGCGAATGCGAAAGCGGCCGGGGGCAACTACTTCGCCACAGCAACAACTACTGTGACGCAGTTAAAAGATAGCACACAATTTGTATCTAGATACTTGACACGATTTTCAACAACAACAGCCGCAGCCGCAACAACAACAATCGTAGTATGAGTAGACAAGGACTTCCATTGTGCTCATGCATCGCATTATATAGCATAGAGCCCCACGTTGAGATCTTCAATCTTCTTCGATCTACGCATTAAGCTACGTTTGCCTTTCCCTGACAATGCGCAGCCATTCAAGCGATCGAGCGACCGGCCCTTTTACTCGCAAAAATAGTCAAATGTTTGCCAGAAAATCAATAGCTTTAGCTCTTTCTTTACTCACCTCTTTGCTAGGCACACACATGGGTGTGCCGACTTTGACAATGCCGTTCTCCACCATTACACCCATCACGATCGGATCGCGACTGTTGAATATAAACTGTGGCAGTATCTGTAAATGGTGTGAGTAATAAAAAGGGAAATGCGATTAGTTAAGTGATTTCTTATTTGTACATAACGACGGGTACTTAATAATCAGCTTCATATCGCTAGCTTTATGCTTATAAAGATGGATATATGTTATAACTACTTTTTAAATCGTGTTTTGTAATTACGAGTACATTTACAAGTAATACCTGGGGCTTCCTACTAGCAACTATTATGCACTCTACATCATAGATCTTGAGGTATAGAGAAATTACGGTCTAGAACTGCTTCTAGGTGTTAACTTCGCGACTGCTCTTAACCCTAAGAATATTAGAGAAAGAAAGAGAAAATAATCCTTAAAGTATATCCATGATCTTGAGTACTCTACATCATAGATCTTGAGGTATAGAGAAATTACGGTCTAAAACTGCTTCTGGGTGTTTAACTTCGCGACTGTTTTTTACCCTAAGAATATTAGAGAAAGAAAGAGAAAATAATCCTTAAAGTATATCCATGATCTTGAGTACTCTACATCATAGATCTTGAGGTATAGAGAAATTACGGTCTAGAACTGCTTCTAGGTGTTAACTTCGCGACTGTTCTTAACCCTAAGAATATTAGAGAAAGAAAGAGAAAATAATCCTTAAAGTATATCCATGATCTTGAGTACTCTACATCATAGATCTTGAGGTATAGAGAAATTACGGTCTAAAACTGCTTCTGGGTGTTTAACTTCGCTTCAATTGTACCTGAAACTTTAACTTTGATATCTTCACGAGAGTTCTTAGCCCTAAGAATATTAGAAAATAAGGACACACGAAAATCACAAGTTCAACAAGAAAATAATCCCTTAAGTATATCCATGATCTTGAGTTAAGTAAACGAGAGAGGCAAAAACTGTAGGTGGATCATAAAATATCTTCCTCCAAACCGAGAGAGCAATCGCTCTCATGCTACCACTTATCGGCAACTTCAATAACTTTGTATAGGAATAGGATCTTCAGTAAAGTTAACGAGGAACACAAAAGCTGTATAATCTCGCACTTTCCTCTCTTTTCCCACTATAATTCCAAACTGCTTGTTATAAATATGAATTGTGAGCTCTTGATATATATGCACTCTATGATAGTATGATCCAGAGTTTTTGAGATTGACAAAAATTGTTTTCCACTTGGTTCAAGAATTTCCGAGATAACAGAACTTTTGTCACAGTTAGGTACTCTTTTGAATCCAAGACTCTTATACCAGTTTGGTTGTCATAGAAGATCACAAGAGACCACAAGTAGATCACAGAATGAGTTCTCTGGAGCTACAATACTGCAACCTTACCAAACTGACTGTTGTTTGCAATCGTTAGTTGCTAAGATTTCAAATTCGTTTACAAATATGGAAATACACCTAATTCTGTTTTTACACGGTCTTTTTTCACACAATTTTGATATGACACGGTTCAAAAATTAAAAATTTCATATATATTTCTTTAGAGATAAGGAACCAATCACCTACTTTTCCATATGATCAATGTCTTTTTTTACACAGTTGTTTCTGGAACCAATCTACCGTGTAAAAACAGAATTAGGTGTACTGCATTGCAATTTTCTACGTATTCTCCTCCAATAGTTAGAGGTATCAAGATATCCTTAAGACTATTTTGCTTTCTAGCGCATCTTAGGTTCGTTACCAGCCGGCTAGCTGACCAGCCAGGCGGCTATCAAGCTATGCACGAAGAACAACTCAATTTCCGCTGCGTCAATAGCCGCCTGCAGCAACCAGAGCACCAGAGACATCACGTAGCAAGAAAAAGTAGCCTAGAACATGCGGCAATGCCTTCATCACACACTCGCACACACACAATTACATGCATATGTTAGCCCCTCACTTCCCACTTAACTATGGGAAAGATTACATTTTATTTTTTTTTTTTTAAAACGGGTGCGTTTTAAATTGATTGCCGTGGTCACACAGACAAACAATTTGCACACATATTTAAAATCGGCCTTGAAAATGAATTTTTCATAAATTGTTGTCCCAAAATCCTAGATAAGAATAGAGGTTTTATAGCGGTGGTCACACAGACAAACAATTTGCACACATATTTAAAATCGGCCTTGAAAATGAATTTTTCATAAAATGTCCCAAAATCCTAGATAAGAATATAAGTTATAAGTTATATAATACACATACTCAGAATCGGCAGTGAAAATGAATTTTTCATGAATTGTTGTCCCAAAATCCTAAATAAGAATATAAATTTTATAGAGGTGGTCAGAGAGGCAAACAATTTGCACACAAACTTAAAATAATGCAGAGTGCATTTTTCTTAAATTGTTTCCACAAAATCGTAGATAAGAATTTAAGTTTTTATTTCTCCATGAATATTATTTATGAGCCTCAAACTATTTTCTGTTCAAAATGCTTGCCCGCCTAACCTTACGATCGATCTATAGTTGCCTGAAGAATTTTTAGTAAACACTTTGAAGCATTAGTTTATGAGCATTAGAAATAGTTAAGAACTATTTGAAAATCAATTCCAAAACTGCAGCAGTCACATGTTCACTCTTCTTCTTTTAGCCTTTGATATTAAAAGAACACGTTTCGGGGGTAAAGGGTATTCATTGTCTCTTGTTTTGTTTGACAAGATTTTGCAGTAGAAAATTATCCAAGCCATTCCACAGTGCATGGCACGGCGTCGTCCAGCGCGAGTGGAGCGGAGCGAGTTAATAACTCAAACTAAACAACGTCATTGTTATTACAAAGCTTGGACTTAAAGCGGCCTCTAAGCAGGGCAAGAACAACGCCAGCAACAACAAAAACTTTAACTATGACTACGACTAACAGCTGTGCGCTGTGTGTCCAATTACAACAACAAGCGGTCAGGGAGCAGGGGACTGGCAGTCAGGCAGTCAAGCGAACGGGCACAGTAGGAGCTCTGAGCGCCCCACTCTCGGGGCCGGCAGGCCACTCGCACGCGGGATAGGAGTGGAGTCGATGTTGCATACGACTATAATCTAATGATTGCCTATAAATCAAACATGCTGTTTAAACTTTATTTGAGCAGGAAGTGTGGACGTGGTGGCCGGCGTGCAGGAGGCGTTCAAGAGAGAGGGAGAGAGATAGAGAGAGAGGAGCAGACTAGCAGACGGACCACACTTTAATCGTTTGTTGAGTGGCTGTGGCTGTGGCTGCGGCTGCGGCTGTTGTTGTTGGGCAGCATCATTAAGCCAAACGAAGCTGCAACTTGAGCCGAGCTTGTGGGTAAGCCAAAATACAAAATACAGATGGCAAGCCAATGATGTGGATGTGGATGTTGATGTTGCTTGCTTGTCGGCACAGCTGGAGTCAACATTTGCACCACAGCAACAGCAGCAACAACAACAACAACAACAAAGTGCAGAGCACAGCGAACTGATTGCATTTTACACCTGTAGCTTTTGGGGTAATTACAGAGCAGTGGTCGTACCAAGCGATCGAACGATGAGCCGAGACTCTGCACACTCTGGGGCCCCCATTATGCCGCAGCATTACAAATGCGTGCCCAGCTTCTAAGTTTGTGTGTGTGTGTGTTTGCTGGTGTAGTAACATTAAAATAATAGGCATAATAACACCAGCTGTTGTTGTTGTTGTTGTTGCTGCCGCTGTTATTGCTTGCCCTACCATTTGCCTATAATAATTACAGTAAAAATGGTTTAAGTGCAACTTAAATTCGGATATCACTAATTTTGGATCAATTAAATAATTGATCAGAAATGGTACAAGTGATTAAATTGTGTCAATTATGCAACAGTATTATGTACAGTAAGAAGCATCCCCATAAGGCTCATATTCTTCAGCAAGACGAGAGAGATCTGTCTGTCTGGATGAACGCCTGGATTTTGTAGATGGCTGAAGCCACGCTGACAAAACTCGGTATGTTGATTTCCCTAGTCCCTAGACATTACTAGTTTATTTTATTTTTTGATTTCCTCCCATCTTCCCTCGCACTAGAGCGAAGAAAGCTGTTCTGATAAATTGAAATGAATGTGAAGAACAATTAAGCAAAGAATGCAAATCACTAAGATGATAAAAAACAATCAAATAAATAATGTATTATTAAACTAAATAGGCAGAAATAAATTAGATTAGAAGCAAAGACAGATATCTGATATCAGTTTTCCCCTTTTTTTCAAAGTTATCCTCTTCACAAAAAGGACAACAGCGTATTAAAAATTTCGTTTATTCATCAGGTTAACTTTTCCCCTTTACAAAACATTTACTGTAGTTTTAGATGCACTTACCTTTAGCTTGCAGGGAAAGACGGCTATGGAACGGAACTCCTCGCGTTTCTTTTGTTTCAACTCTTCACGATATGAGGTAAATTTATCGAATAGATGATAGATAATGTCCGCTTGGAATATTTTAACACCCAACGAATCGGCCATTTCCTGTGCCTCCTTCTCCACCTTAACATCGAATGCCAAAATTGTTGCATATCTGCAGGCGCCAAAAGAGAGATGAAGAGAGAAAAGAGAAGAGAGGTTTAGTATTGTGAACAACATGCTATAACAATTAAATACAATTAAAAGCACAACAAATTAAAGTATCCAAAGCTGATAATAACAGCAGCTACTACTACAATAATAATGATAATGGCAATGCAGCGTCAGATTTGGTTTTCCTGTAGACTCAACTCGACTCGACTCGACTCACTAATGATCTTGCCACATGGCGGAGATGTCGGCAACTGCTGCAGTCAGCTTTGGATGGAAAGGAAGCGGCGTTAATAATTGAAATCACGACCATGTCTACGTTTCGTTTCGTTATTATTGTAGTTGCTGTTCTTGTTGTTGTTGTTGCTGTTTACTTAGCTTGGTCAACTGGCCGCGCGCTTTCAATGACAGGAAACGAGCGGCATTTGAAGCTACGTGAGATCGTTTGGTGTGACAGGAAGGGTCAAGAAATGATGTGCCGTCTAATGAGCGACTTGATATACAACATGCAGCAGACATACATATAAACAAAGGAAGGGCATCATCATACACTCCTATATACATACATATATCTAATAAACAAAATTAGCGCCAAGCTGGAATTCGGTTTTCTGATTCTTTTGTCTGTTTTCTTTTTTTCTTCTTCTTCTTCAATGGGATGACATGGAGTTGGTCGTGTTGGGCTGGGTTGGGGATCAGTAACGATCATCTGTTGCGCTCGCAAAACTTTATGGCGTTCAATTAAGAACAACAAATCCAAACTAATAAATAGCCACTCATTGTGATCATTCGTGGTTACCCCACCCAGTGTGAATGGCTATTAAGGCTAACCTGGACATGGTGGCATAAAAGGCTCATAAAAACAGTTGAACATTTTATGAGCCATATGAAGATCAGAAAAAAAAGATATATATGTATGTATGTATTTATGAAAAAACGAATGAGAAGAAAAGTTGCGACGGTCAAGTCAAACGCTCTTTTTACGATGGCACGCAGCGTAAAAAGCAAAATTTTATGGTAAAAATTCCACACGCGTAAAAATCATAAATAAATAACAGCAACACATAGTAAAAAATTTATTGAATTTATTACTCGATCGACGCTGTCATGAGATATGCAAACACCACTTTAGCACACTTTGGTTCTTAAAAGCACGCATAATTCTCAAATGGTTGCGCATGCGCGAAAGGCCGGAAACGTGCACGAGTATTTGCAGATGTGTGTGTGTGTAGATGTAGAAATGTGTGTGTGTGTTTGTTTGTAGCGGAAACGATCCGCAACTAAATATGTATTTGAAAGCTTTTGCATGGCAACATTTCTAATTTTTTTCATTCCATATTTATTTTTTTTGCATGTGTCAGCACGTAATGTGAGTTGATGAGTGTACGTCTGTTTGTCTGTGCACGGATAGGAAATGGGATACAGTCATACTTGATTAAATGGAATATTTGCACAGCTGACTTATTTCCGTATTGGAACCCCATTTCCATCTTTGTTTTCTGACAGCAAAAAGAATCAGAAGAAAAAAATTCTATAGCGCTCAGAATTGCCTTCTAAAAAATAGAGAAGTTAGTTGATTGGAATTGTTTAGAAAATTTAGAACTTCTCCACTCTTTTCTATTTTCATCAAACTAGCATAGAGCTGAAGACGAAAGACGAATCAAAATGAGTTGAAGCCAACGATTCATTTCCATTTCATTTGTATTTAAATATATTATCAAATACCTTTACAGTAAATACTAATCAACAAAACCCACAAGTCTATTTATTTAAACTACAGATCATTTTTCTCCACATTGTAATGCTAATTATTTCCTTTTATGCTTTGATTTTTGTTTTTTGGCTCAAGATCCAAAATTTATGGAATTACAACTCCATGTGATTCGGTCTTCAAGTTGTTCTAATTACTTAATTATAATATTTATATACACTCTTCAGTTGAGTCTTTACTGATTCATCTGAGACACTTTGCCCTTTGTGTATTCAATATACATTTTTATCAATTAAATACTAATTGCAGATAAATCTCATTGATTAAATTACGCTTGACCTCACATAAACATTTCTAAGATATGTATTAGCTATCTTTCAAATTTTTTTAGTGAACCAAAAATTGCAAAATAATCGAAACCACTCCATCTTCGTTGAGTGTATTTGCTGTGAAACAAACATTTCCATTTGTGATGTTTCACTGTACGAGCATAGGAGTATTTGCATAGGTGTATCTATCTGTCTGTAGGTATTCAGTATTCAGCATGACGCATTGTTGTTGCCAAGCAGAGCACAAATACAACAACAAACAATTGCATTTACAGTTGCTGAAATTGGAAACTTGTCACTGCACCACAGCAACAACAGCAGCAGCACAACCGACACCACCACCACCACCACCACAGAGTGACGACCGACCGGCACTCTACCATCTATTTGGCATTTAATTTGCACCACTTAACGTCCAGGCGGTTGCTAATGAGACAAAGCCTGGGCCGACACTGCCACCAGAATCAGCAAGAGCGGCAGAAGCACCGCTTCAAGGCAAATATTTAAAGGTCCGGCCGTAATAAATCATGAGAAAGAGGCTGGCTTAATGCTAGGCTATATTTTGCGGCGGCGCATGCGCAAAGTGCATTTTCTGATTGCCGTTAAATGAATCACTTAAACAGCTAAGCGGTCGGGCGATCGCCAGTTACTGCTGCTGCTCCTACTCTTTAACTGTTCAGCTGTTGGCGGCTATATCACTCGACGACGATCTTCAAACGAACAAACAACAAAGTCGCGACCGTTCATTATAATGCACATTATATGCGCCTTTGTTTTCGGGCCAAGCGGGCGGCGCATCGTTGCCACATCTTGGCGGATGTGGGGGAGGGGGGATCCAGGGGAGGGCGTTTCCCATTCCGCTGTTTGCCGCCGACTGCGCCTTAATGAAGTTAAGCGGCAATAAAATTGCATTGTTCGTTGTCATATATCAAAAAGTCGTTTGGCCGAACGCCCGCTGCTTAAGTGTTTGACTGACTGCTCGCTGGACAACAATGTTGTTGCACCACAGAAAGACAACAAATGTTGAATGAGCGGAGAAAGCAATGCAACCGAACGATTACTAAACCTAGACCATTGGGTTCTTCCTAATAATACTGTAGTACAAAAAATGAGCCCAAGACTAGCTTTATATGCATACGAGTAGTATCAGCACACGAAATGTTTAATTATCAATGTTCTCTGATCACCACAAAAACCAAGGTTTTGTGCCACAAAAATCATTCGATTCTGTTTTTATATACGAGTATTTATATCGACATTATTGTACATTTTAATTATTTCTGATAAGATTAGGGGAAAATGAAGTCAGGTGTTCTCTGGACAACTGGATATGTTGTACCGGACCGCCATGAAGATATCAAATTGTTGGTGCAAAAATTCTTAAGAGTCTCAGGAGAATAATGACTTCATTTAGTTTTGCTGAAATGATGGAAATAGTCTTGATTCAAGATGATATTTCAATGGCTCATAAGAAGCGTCAATGATGAGTTGATAAGTCGAACTATGATTGCGACAGTTGCATTCTACCGGAATGTGAAATGCTGATGCAGATCTGCTGTTCTTTCAACACTTGCTTCAGCAGCAATAAAAATTAAACTTAATTAAATTCAGTTATTTAGCATAATAGCTAAAAAGTAATCTGACAATTGTAACACTAGGATATGATTTATAAACAAATAAATAAAAATTGAAGCCGTCAATGTGCCTAATGTCTAATAATTCCTGTGGTTCTGCTTCACAAAAACTACTCAACGGTTCTGCTCTCTCTCTATACTTGTAAGTAACTAAGGAGATCTTCTCAAATTATAACCATAACTTCCAATATATCGTCGTTTTATTGACTTTTACAGAATTCCTATCAAAAGTAGTGAACAAATTGAAAATATATATACAATGGAACTTGAATTGAAATAATTCTTCCTATTACTTTTTAGCCATCCGTTCGTTTAATGACAGGCAGCTTCATATTTCTCTCTTACCTTTGCACACTTTTCCAACAAACTTTAGTCAATTGGTCGAAATTTTTGTCACCCTAGAGCTCACACATTACATAAGTTTTTTCCGCAAATAGTAACTCTACTTCTGGCTTACAATTTCAAAGCCAAAGACATTTCTTTGTTTTTGCCAGAGTCAACAGAAAAGCTTGAATGGAATGGAAGTTCAATAAACCAAAGCCGACAGAAATACGAATGGGGAAAATTAAATTTGATAGTTTGGATTGGACTTGCGCAAATTTCCGCATTCAGCGAATTCCGCGAATTTCTGAATTTAATCATTACTCTCCGAGTTGAATGACACAGCGTCTAGAAATGCGATGGACAATGGGCGATGGGTGATGGGCGATGAGGAAAGCCAAAATGCTTAATGGGCGATAGTTGAATAATGTAATTGGTTTTACTTACTGCGCCTCATGCTCCAGCATGGTGGAAGCCTTCATGACATCACGTTTGACTACGGGTCCAATACGTATGGCGGAGTACTATAAAGAAAATGGAATAGAAAGAGAAGGGTGGTAAGTAAGATTTGAACAACCATATGGTCGCACATGTGCCTGCCTGCCGGCCTGCCGGCCTGCCACCCACAAATCCCGCCCCTTCCACCCCTGCCAACAAAAAAATTCGACTGCCACTTGCCACAACAACAACAACAACAACAACGACATCGTCTGCCTGACCCAAAGAAACGAAGGCCTATTTTTAAGCAATAGGCGGCATTAAAACACCAAACTAAAAACGAATCTAAAAACAAATTCCACGAGAGAGAGACGAAGGCATCCCAAAGACCTCCATCTCGACCATGCGTAGGCCGACGCCGCCACCGTAGCCACCGTAGCCACCATAGCCACTGTACCCACTGGTGGCAATCATTGCTGCGAGTTCATTCACATCGAAGATGTTCAATTTTATTTTTGTGCGCCCCATGATTACTAATGATCATTGATAAAAATAACAGCCAGTGCCATGCGATGGCGTCAGCATCGACGTCGACATCGTTGTGCATGAATGAATGAATGAATGAAAGGCTGGCCGCTTGAATGGTCTGCCGATATGTCGATATGCTCGTCATGCAATTGCAAACAACAATTTCTGAATGAAACCAGCCAAAAATATGCATATCATATCAATATGCAATTTAAGCAATTAAAGCAACAAAGCATGTGTACTATTTCCACTGAGAAAATTCAGTTCAAATTACTAAGAATTGGGAATGACCAGTTTCTTATCTATTTTGCATATCTAGTATTTATTATCAATGTGAATTTCAGAGGCAAATAAATATTTAGTCTTAAGCTAAAGGTACAAGATGGATGTGGAGTTCCAGTAACAATTTCAGGACATTGGCTCCACTGGAAGCCGAGTTATCGCTTAAAAAGTAACTCTATGTTTGTGTCATCGATAAAAAACAAAAACAAAAGTATCGCACGTAGAGCACAAATTCAATTCGTTCTTAAACTCGATGCAACTTTTTCCAAAACGTTTCAATTGATGAATCAAGTTTAGGGTGATAATTATATGCCTCGTGGCATGTGCGATTCAAGAATGGTCGCCATCAGTTGGATCAACAGCCTCATCAAAAATCATGATTATCAAAGATGCAGTCAATAAATTAAAAATCTTCCGTGAAATTCATCGATAAATAAAATAAAATATCTAAAAATTAAAAATTATAATTGAAGAATAACCAAAAATTGGTCTCTTCGAGTGACATATGGGACTTATTTTGTGCCTCGACTTTTTGTGTCCTCCATCATTAAGCTGATTTTTATAATCTGTGCCCAAAAGGTAAATCGATGTACAGTTTAATTTATGATAAGATGATGAATGCAATCGGATAAAATTAATAACAGCAGTTCACAAAAATGACACTGATACTACACTGATCGTATAACATTTTTTAACTATTAAGAATCCTAGCACATATTTCCCATACATATTTCCAATGAATATACCATACTTTGATAACAAATTGTAAAACACTCGATTGCGATTACGTCACAAGACCTGGAAAGACTAGTCTAATAAAATACTGCCATTGGACACGAAAACTGAGGAAGGCACATTTTCAGTTGCCATTTCAGCTAATGGTGGTCAGCTGTCAATAAACTAACAGTCAAGTAATACTCGTATATACATACATAGATTACACATACATAGTAAGTATATACAGACGTATGTACCACATGAGTGTCTGTTTGTTTGTGTGGCACTGTTGTGCGTGCGCTTAGAGTGGCTCAATTGTAAATTGAATTCAATTACAGTTTAGCTCATTCATGAAAAATTCATTCATTACATAGCCATATAGACAGCGCGACTCGTTCCGTCGTTTGATGTTGTTGTTGTTGTTGTAGTAGCAAGTCTAATAAAAGAAATTGTGCGCAACTTCTACTAACGGAATAGAATGGCGCACAAAAGTAGTAGCAAAGAGTAAATTCAAAAGGGGAGAGAAGAAAAGTACAAAAAAAGAGTTCAGCAATCGACAAAACAATGCATGAAATCGGAAGTTCATTGTTGTCTGAATGCACGTATTGCATGCGAGTGCGAAAGAGAGGGAAAAGTAATTGTTGGAAAACAGACAAACCCAATTGAGTTGAACGTTGCATGTAAAAATGGCAAACGGAAGTGATAGCAAAATGCGCAGATTGGAAATGGCAGACGTTAATGAGAGGGGGTGTCGACTAGAGGTGTGCAGACAAATAGGCCATCAAAATCACGCATGTACTTGTAGTATTCACGAAGCCAATTCGATTCGCATTCAGATTTCTGGTTAAAACAAGCATTGAACGCTTGAGTCGAGAAGAGGAGTGCGATAAAAAGGACAAACTTGTCCTCTCTCGTAACTAGGAGAAGATGCAAAGAGATTACATTTATAGCAGAAGAAAAAAGAAAAAGAAGAATAAAAAATAAAAATAAAATCAACTCGAGTCGCCTGGATATTAGGAGAGTCTACACACCAAGTTTAGAGAATGTGTGTTCAATTGTCTCCGAAATCCAGGCGTTCATACAGACAGACGCTGATTAAGAATACATATATGTATATACTTTATGGAGCCGGAGATGTCTACTTCTGCCTTATACATACCCTTTGCATACAGGATATAAAAAGAACAAGCCTTTAATGCTTAATGCTTAGGAGAATATGTATACCAAGTTTAGTTATTCTAGCTCTTATGCTTTCCCAGGCAAACATACATGACTATATGGGTACATGTACCGTCATGTTAAACAAGAATATATATTCTTGGTAGAAGGTATCGAGAGTACCGGCCAATTGTAAATAAGCAACGATTTCAATTAAAAGCTCAATCAAAGTTATGTGGCCTGGCATAGCTCCACGAGCTAGCAGGACTCCCACAATGTGAGTTCGTTCCTTGAGTAGGCTCATCGTTCGAATCAAGCCCAATCATCATATGACAAAAGCATGATTTATATACAAAAAAATAACACAACTTAGATTATTAGAATTTGCATAGATTTATTTTATTATTATATTTAATTATTTAAAATAACGTATTTGTTTAAAGAATACTCCATAATTAATTTAACAAGTAAGCACCTGAGTCTTAAATTTTTTTTTTGAAATATGTATTTTAGAGCAAGTTTTTACAGGTTTTTAAAACTCTATTATGATCTAATATAAACTAATCACCTGATTCTCACAAATACTAGCACGTCGATCATATTGACCCACACTTTTGTTTTTCTTTGTGGCCTCATTTATGTTAAAATCGTGTTTCATGATTTTGCATGAAACCGTAAATGGTGGACCCTTTTCACGCACGCATTCCCGCTCCGCTCTAGTGTCGGGCGTAGGAGAGAGCAGGAAATAGACGCAAATCTGCTGCACAGTAGGGCGATGCTAGTGGGGTCGAGGTTTGTGAAGGGAAACCCCAATGGTGGGTAGATAGGTAGGTGGATGGGTGGGTGAGTAATGCATGTTCTGCTACACGTGGCAACGCGCCTCGCATTGAGTAACACAAACAATCAATGTGCGCGTGAAGTGTAATCGAATTTCAATTGCTGACGCAGCAACAGTGCCACAAAGACGACGACGACGACGACGACGATGGCAACAAAAACAGCAAAAACTGCAAAAAGAGCAAGAACGGCAAAAACAAAAAACAACAGCAATCCCCGTACGAGTAATCGAAGCAGACACAAAATTGTGGGCGGAAGTGGAAGTGCGTAAAAGCAGCGCAAAAGTTAATTAGCAAAAGGTAAAAGGTGGCAGTCAGTCTGTCACCTGCGCTGACGTCAAGTGGCAAAGCTCAAAGCCACCGTTAGCGACAAGGAGGTTTCTTTCGGCTAAAATAGCATAAAAGACGCTTAACCCATTTAGGCACTCAATTTAATATTCTTCCAGCCAATAAATGATTTAGAAGGCTCAATATTTTTATCACACGCGCCTTTTTGATCATTTATCGATTTTTCAAATACTGCCAAGAGCTAGAATGACTAAACTTGGGATACATATTCCGCTAAGTGCTAAGCGGGAAATGTTAAGGGGTTTGGGGGGAGAGGCAGTGGTATCTTGCTTTCATGATCGATATAAAGATGCTGTCAACTCGTTTTCACTCCTATATAGAAACGACAAACAGTCCTTTTTGAATATGTTTGGCAGCATCCGAAATGGTCAGGTACGTTTGGAGTTGATGCTGCCCAGCTATATAATATTAGATATCAACTCTTTTTAATCTAACTCTGCTCTATATTAACGTCTTGGATTGTGACTCTTAGGTGAGGGCTGGATCAAGTTGTCATGCCCCAGTTGTTGTTTAGAACGCGTAAATAGATAAAGAGATGGACGAACAGTTATACAAGAATGACTGCATTTTTCGATTCTGTAAAAATTAAGCTAAATGCCAAATATTGAACTGAAATTAAATACAACATATTTATTTTATATTTATATATATTTTAATAAACAACTTTTTTTTCAGATTACATTAGCAAAACTATACTAAGATAACAAAACTATATGCATGCTGTATGCGTTTCTAAATCGTAAATCCGAACTATCATTACACAACTAGTTAATTTTATGGATCTGAGGTATGTATGAGGCAGCAGTTCGAACTCATTTAAGAAAAATTCAAACAAAATATAAAATATTATTATATCATTATACAATTTATTATACAAACGACTGTACGAGGAATCCAATATTAAAACGAGAGACGAACTCATTTCTGACTGGTACTTCTCATTCTAGAGCTGTCTAGTTTTCGTCAAGTACAAGCTTAGTCAATAAGTCTCCTTTAAAATTTTTATACCCTGTACCCAAAGGGTAAAAGGGTATATTAGTTTTGTGCGAGTGTACATGGAACGCACAGAAAGAGGCGTCCGTCTGACCGTCTGTCTGTATGAACGCAAGGATCTCAGAAAGTATAAGAGCTAGAATAACCAAACTTGGTATCTAGATTCTCCTGAGCCCGAGAAAAGACGAGTTTGTTCATTTTTTCTCATCCACCCCACCACTCCC